GATACAGACACTTCATAGTGAGAGCTTCATTCTGATTATTTTAGAGTTTATACAGAAGAAGATCAAGACACTCAATTAACTTATGTCAGACGATTAGTGTGGCAAGTTCCGTTGCGCTATTCTGAACAGAAGAAAATAGCCGATCATCTGTAACAATGCTATGTCCTCTTGAAAGACCCAAATCCAGATGAGAAACTCAGTGGAGTGCCTTGCAAAAAAGTGCAGCATAATCAGACTGCTTTTGCTAAGAGGCCTCAACAAGTTAATCCTACAAAAACCCCAAGCAGCTGGAAGCTCCTTCCTCCCCACACAGTAACATCCAGTCATCCCAGCTTTCAGCAGAGGACTGTCAGGCACTCAGCCCAGTTACGTTTTCCAGACCCCTTTCTTCAGCAGTGCTTGCATCAACACCAGACTTCAAAAAAGAACCCCTCCAAGTAATAAGTAAAAATCCATCTCTATTGCCATGTGGTCCTGCAGCAGAGGCTCTCACCCCCTCCTATAGTACATCCTCCTAATCTGTGTTCTCAACGATAAGGAAAACATTGACTGAAAAAGTAGTGATGTATGATGAAACCTGATCATATACCACAGCTTGTGGTTGTTAGTTCCATGTCTTCTCTTTCTAAGGCTACAGAAGTGGAGGAACACAGTTTTTATCAATTGTGCTTTTACACAGATGCTCCGTGGGGCGGGTGGGTGGCTAAAAAACCCAAAGAAAACCAGCATAGAAAGCAACAGCCACTAGTAGACTTGAAAATTTAGCCTAAAACAGCTGAATACTTTCAGATATTCAATCAAGACACCCTGAGCTACATAATCCTTTAAAGCACCGTTTTAAATAAATTACTGAAGTTCCAGTCAAAAGCACTTAAGGACATCTCTCCATTTAAAATAGGAGCCACGGGAGAACGGCAGAGTGAGAGAGCATGCAATTAAGTGATGCTACACAGTGGAAGGCAAGAACCACCAGGTTAGAGACTATGTGTGTCCCCTCCTCGCATGCCTGTACACCATGCAGTGTTACTACAGCACGTTACGAGGACTTGGAATCCAGAGGCAAGTTCCCATCAGTTCAAAATTAAAATGACCAGCACCATTAGAAAACTGAAGGTGGCCTGGGCCTCATGGAGGATCAAGGCAGAGGATTCCTCTGTGACCAGCTAAGGAAGGCAGTGAGAAGAACCGAAGGACAGGAGAAGCCAGAATCTCTTTGGCTGGAGGAGCAGAATGGGGAGGAGGCTGCATTTATGGAGCAGTTTGTGAAGCAGCTGCTGGAAGAATTGGTTTTGGGGAAGTTGGATATTTGCACTGCTGACGTAGGATTCAGGAGGAAGGGAGAATGGAGGCAGCAGGAGTAGCTTCCTTGGCTAGCACCAGCAGTGGAAATGCTCCAAGCAGCTAGCATATCAGGAAGCAAGGATAGGGGAAAAAAAAAAAAGAAAAGAAAAGAAAAAAATAAAAAATATATATATAAAGGAAGAAAAGATCTTCACTGTTTATCCAATTAAAAAAAAAAAAGGAAAAAGAAAAAGAGGAAGAGAAAATAAAAAGAGGAGAGAGAAGCACCAGTCGCAAAGAGTTCACAAGGCTTTTTTTCCTCCTTCCCCCAGCGTCACTGCTCTGGCTCTGACCTTCGGGGCCGGTATCTCCGATGGCCCGTTGATTTCCGCGTGGCCACTGCTGCGGTGAAGCCCACCAAGCAGCACAAGGATGTGGTACCAAATTTGGCTGTGTCTAGCCAGTTGGGCGTTTCCGTCTTCAGGTAACTCTCAGCTAAATGCAGACTCATCACTACGAACCACAAGACTGAAGCAAACGCATCAATTCTCCGGAGCCTGCAATGCCAAAAAGAAACCAAACAAGACACGAGGTAAGAGATTAAATATCAATGGATGTTGGTCCTTGGTCCTGAGGAAGGAGAGGGAAGGTGGGGAAAAGGTGGGGAAGTACACAGGCTGAGGAGGTTATGTACTACCTCTTACTATGGTTATATCATCTGCAGCCCTTCCCACTGCTGCAGTGAGTACCTGAACAGATCAGGTCCATCCTCTACCAGATTACAGCATAAGGAGCTTTTCATTCACAGTAATTCAATCTCAAATTGAATGAACCAAGGCACAGACCCAAAGTAAGCTCTGCTGTCTCCACCCAGCCAGCTGGCAACCCAAAGACTAGCAAGGACAACTGTGCCACTCAGTACCATGTGTGCCATTCTGGCAAATGTTCACCCTCCGCTCGCTGAGTCCAGACAGGGCGAACGACCGCCAACATAACGCAGTTTTCCTTTAAGTGAAACCGAAGAAAAGAGCACACCCACCTGATCCGACCAGCTAAGAACATGGCCAACAGGCAGGTGAACAGCCCAAGGACAGCGACTGCCATCTGGTGATTCTTCCCGTAAGCCCATGCGACACTCAGGTTCTCCACCATCTGTTCTGGGAGCAGGTGGAGCAGCTCCCGCCAGCCTGCCACCGTCACGGAAGTATCATTTTCCAAGTCTGCAAGCGAGCTTGTACCAGTCCTGTTCTGAATAGATGCTGGACCAGATGAGACAGGAGCAGGGACTGCTGCACTGAGTGAGAAGGGGTCGCCTGACCCATACAAGGCCATCAGAACCAGGAACGCGCAGCTGAGAAAGGCCAAGAACCGCAGAAATATCACCTGAGCTGGTGTGGTTATGGAAGCAGAAGAGGAGGATGAACATAAATTCTGCAGAGGAACAGAGAAACACGTTGTCAGAAGCTGAACGAACTGTGATAAGGTTTTGAAATGGTGCTTTATGAAACACTTCCAGACTGTATGGTTTACTGGATGGTTTTGCTCAAGTCTTTTTAAGTCTGTACTGGGCCAACACCACATGGGATGTTGTAGACTAGCAAAGAGCAACAGCAGAGTTCTGAGTAGAAGCTAAGGTCAGGCAGGGCAGTGAGGCAAAGAGAAGGTCATAATTCACTTCCCATCATTCTTACTTCTTTTTTTCCCCCCTATATTCTGTAGTTACCTGCACTCATGAATTGGCTTCCCCACTTGCCCTTTTCTGCCTGTCCTGCTATTTTCCTTCCACTCTGTTCTTATGACATTAGACTTACCTTTTGGCAATTGCACTGAATGACACCAGCAAGAGGAAAACCTCAAGAGCATCTGTAGCAACTGTCCTGTGCTCTTCTAAACTTCTCCCAGAGTTAGCGCGCCCCAAGGCTGTTGCTCTCGTCTCCCAGCAGCAAACCCAGGTGCAGAGGTACCTAGTTCTCTGCACTTCCCTCCAAACGCCTTCACCTCTCCCCCCATGTACCTGAGGATAGGTCTTGTCTGTCTCACGGCGTTTGAAATGGTGGCTGAGCAGCAGCGCCCGGAGCTGCCGATTCTGGGGTTTTATGTAATATTCCACAGCAGCCTGGCATGGACGGCACAGCTTGTAGGTCTGCTCCAGATGATGCTTATACACCTCAATCTCTTCATCATACTTGCCCTGGTGAGAGAACAGGAGAGAAAATGTAGGCGAGAACTGCAGGTCCCTCACCAGTTATCATGCTTGCTACTGACATGCAAGCAAGACGTGCTTCCAGTCTCCAGAGGAACAGCACCCTGAAGCCATGCCTGAACAGCAAATAAGCTGGAGCCAGCCATACAACCAGCTTCACATACAGCTGATGCAACCTCCATGCCCCAGAAGAGACAGAAGAGTCCTTGGAGAAGGCTGCTGTGGCCCAATTTCAGGATGTTGAATTCCTATGGCGCAATTTTGCTCTCTTTGTTGAGACCGTATGAACTCAACACAGAAGATGAGACAAAAACTAGACTTGCTCTTCCCCTCCTCAAGTGAGAGGACACAAAAGATCTGTTTCCCCTTCACACTACTGTGCCGGAAAAAGGAGAGACAAGCTCCTTCAAAAACTCAGCCCCAGACTCGAAGGTTGTCAGTCTGAAGGTCCTGGTGAGATGAGCTCCATAAATCATTAATAGCACTTGTAAAAACAGTCAGTGAGTAGGGCCAAAGGTCCATTTTTCAGTGTCACTACAGCGGACACATCACATCACAGCGGCTTTCCACCCCCCCTCCCAGCCTCTATCAAAATCCCTATTCCAAAAGCATACAGCTGAAAGCATACAGCTTCTTTGGGAGAGGGAAATGGAAAGATGCACTGTAGCTGCCCGAGGGCTTGCTGCCGCAGTTCCATAGGCTCCATCTGCCGGAATCGAGACGGAATCACATGGGAGAGAGTACTAGCAGCAGGCTCAGCCCTTACCGCAGAGGCCAGCAAAGCTCAGAGAGGCCACTGCTGTCGCTGACACACATATCTAACTGTGTTGGATGACACAGTCCCATGTTTCTTAGCAGGCACAGACACTGCAGTTCACTGAATGCCTAAAAAGGGGCCAAAGGCTGGCATTATTTGAGCAAGTGGATAGGGCTGGCAAGAGGCAGGGTAAAGCTGAGAAAAGGGAATCGGCTGAAAATGTTCTCATTAAGCATGATCAAATTTAAATCTGTTCCCTGGGAGTCATCCTGATTAAACTCATTACAATCACACAAAGCAGACTGGATTGGGCAACCCAGAAGAACACATCTCACTATAGCACAATCTTATAACCCCAAGGCTTGACCATGGTTGAAAGCTAAGGAGTGCAGCACTAAATTCTCTGCATGAAACTTTGGGAGCCATAAAACTGTGAAGGAGAAACCCCACGATCCTACCCTCTGTGCATATTAAGTAAT